TTTGTGGTTACTGAGCCTTTGTCTCGATGCCAGTGTCTTCAGTCAGCAGGCTCACACTGATAAGAAGAAATAGTCTTCCACCAATTAAACAGCCTAAAATGTTTCTCAGCCTTTTTTGTTTTTTTTTTTGTTTTTTTTTTTTTGAGACAAAGTCTCACTCTGTCGCCCAGGCTAGCGTGCAGTGGCACGATCTTGGCTCACTGCAACCTCTGCCTCCTAGATTCAGGCAATTCTGCTGCCTCAGCCTCCTGAGTAGCTGGGACTACAGGCATGTACCACCACGCCCAGCTAATTTTTGTATTTTTAGTAGAGACGAGGTTTCACCATGTTGGTCAGGCTGGTCTCAAACTCCTGACCTTGTGATCCACCGTCCTGGGCCTCCCAGAGTGCTGGGATTACAGGCATGAGCCACCGCGCCTGGTCAGCCTTATTAACATATGCTTCTGAGGGGGTGCTCCTTCCCCAATTATAACTGACACCTAGCCAGAGCTTTCTACGTTATCCCTTTTAAAAAGAAAATGTGTTTGTTTTTTCTGATAATAATAGCTAACATCTATTGAGCACTCCTTGTGTACCAGGGACCATATATGCTAGGGGCACATGTTAACTCATTTAATCCTCAAAACAACCCTAAGAGGTTTTACAGATGAGAAAGCTGAAGCACAGAGAGGTTAAATAACTTGCCCAAGGTCCTACAGCTGGTCAGTGGGGGATGCATACTTCAAGCCTGGGCTACTTTTGAAATTTAAAAAAAAAAATACATCTGAGCGATGCCTCTAATGCAGACTTAGAGTTACTTAATAATTCACTTAATTGGTAGTGGACTACTAATATTTTATGTCATTTAAGCTTAATAAGAAGACATGAAGTAGCTGCCAAGTAGTTTCATTCGTGCATGCACTTAACAGGCATTTGGAGAGCACCAGATACCAGGCCTACCTACCCTCAAGGAACTCTAGTCAAGGGGAGGGGCAGACATGAAAAAAGGCCATCAGCTGGCTGCAGGTGCAATGATGATACATCATGCACAAGGCAGAGGCCACAGAATTCACAGGCAGGAAAGTGCAGGTGGCTCGGCAAGGAGGAAGTGAGATGAGCCGGACTGACAAGAGCCTTCATTTTGACCAGGAAACTGGAATTGATCCCAAAGGATCAGCAGGGCTGCTAGAGGGCATAAGCAGGACAATAGCATGGCCTGGGCCTCAAAAATTCCCCTGGCACAGCCCATACAGCAGTTATACCCATTTACTAAGTTCAACCTCAGGATGGCAATTTTTTCTCTACCATGAGAGGGCTGTGTAACCTTAGACAGCATACTTAACCTCATAATTTTTCATCTGCAGTCTGCAGTGAATCATAATACCTGTATCACAGGGTTGGTGTGAAGATTAAAGATGTTATATATAATCACAGGAAAAGTAAGCAATAATTAAATATTAGCTAGTAATGAGTCTATTAGCTATATTGTTAAAACCATTATTAAAATTATGAGTTGTTAGTATATTATGAGTTACTAGTGACTAGTATTAAGAATGGCTAACATTAGGAGCACTTACAGTTATTATTATCCTCATTATTGTCACCCAGGGGTTAGAAGTAAACAGGCAGAGGCAGCAGTTGCCATAAATCCTCATTCAAATTATACTAGAACAGTGCTTTGGGTTGAAAGCCAGTATTGGGTCATGACATCAATTTAGATTTATAATCAGTCATTTTTAAAAAATGAAAAAGAATAAGACAGAACATATCAAAGTGCATTTCTCATCATGCAGTAACTTTTGTGAATCTTTTGTNCAATTTAGATTTATAATCAGTCATTTTTAAAAAATGAAAAAGAATAAGACAGAACATATCAAAGTGCATTTCTCATCATGCAGTAACTTTTGTGACTCTTTTATACATATGAACACACACGTTCACAGACATCAATGTGTGTATTAGGTTATTATGTAAGATGTTGTAGTTTGTTGTTGTTGTGTTGCTGTTGTTTGAGAGAGGATCTCACTCTTGCCCAGCAGGAAGTGCGTCGTACCATCACGGCTCACTATAACCTTGACCTCCTGGGCCCAAGCTATCCTCCTGTTTCAGCCTCCTGAGTAGCTGAGACTACAGCCATGTGCCAGCATGCCTGGCTAAATTTGTTTTTGTTTGTAGAGACAGGGACTTGCCGTGCCCAGGCTGGTCTTAAACTCCTGGCTTGTAGTAGTCCTTCCACATTGGCCTCCCAAAGTTCTGGGATTACAGATGCGAGCCACCCCATTCCTGGCCATAGATGTTTTTCTAATTATTGATTGCAGTCAAAACAGTTTTTAAAACCCTGGAATAGAAAGTACTATCACTGATATTCCTTGCGATCCTGCTTCTCAGACACTCAGAGGAATATTGTCTTGCCAGCTGTTGGGAGGCTGAGCATCAAGCTCAGAGCTCTGGGCTTGAACCTCACTAATATAATTCTATTTATGTGTGTCTTGGGTCGCACCCCTTTCCACAGCATTAATTTTCGGGGATATTTTGAGAATTGGCAACCAAAAAAGTGTCACCTATTCATCTTAATTGGATCTAGGTACAACCACCGTGCCCAGCCAGCCTTATTAACATATGCTTCTGAGGGGGTGCTCCTTCCCCAATTATAACTGACACCTAGCCAGAGCTTTCTACATTATCCCTTTTAAAAAGAAAATGTGTTTGTTTTTTCTGATAATAATAGCTAACATCTATTGAGCACTCATTGTGTACCAGGGACCATATATGCTAGGGGTACATGTTGGGAGGCTGAGGGTACATGTTGAAGTCCCCCAAAAGGTACAACCCCGAGGCATTGCGGTCTATCATCTAGTTAGTAACAGCTTTGCAACTAACTCACCGTGGAGCCTTAGGCAGGAGACTGTATGGCCCTGGGTCACACTGTCGCTTCATCTATAAAATGAGGATAAAAATAATTGTCATCTCTACTTCACAGTTATTATGAGGCACCAATAAAATCACAAGTGTTTGCACTCTTTGAAAATCGTGGACCTTCGGGCCAAAGACCTGCCTCTGATGTCCATGATCAAAGGCAGAATTTAGGAACTGCTAGCCTCAGAGCAAATTCGACTCAGCAATCTGTTTTGTTTGGCCTGCAAAATATTAAAATTAAATAATAATAATGGATCAACATGTTAAAGTCATACATTTTATACCTAACTCCAAATTTCCAGCTTGTCTTAAAAATTCACAAGACATCCCCGCCCCCCAGACACTCCCACCCACACTTCCTCATTGCAGCATAGGCAGGCACTTGGATACACCCACCCTCCCAGCTATTGACTATGGAGGCCCCACCCTGGACACTGAGATCTGAGGTCAGCAGCATTTATCACAGCTCTTGCTCTGCTGTTTCTCTAATCGGACAATGAAGCCGGGGAATGTCTTGTGTACCCATGCTGCTCTGAAAGATGGAGCAATGGAAAGCCAGACCGAGCAGGTTGTGTTTCCTAAAAACTAAGCGATGCCCTATGTCTGTGCGGAGGAGGAGATTCTACTTCCCTTCTGTATTGCGCTCCTGGCCCTGTATGGTTGTGTTTGCTACCCCAGAGCTCAAAGAAGACTTTTTTTCTTTTTTTTTTTTGAGACAGAGTCTTGCCCTGTCACTCACCAGGCTGGAGTTTGGTGGTGCGATCTCAGCTCACTGCAACCTCCATCTCTCGGGCTCAAGTGATTCTCCTGCCTCAGCCTCCTAAGTAGTTGGGATTACAAGCATGCACCACCATGCCCAGCTACTTTTTGTATTTTTAGTAGAGACAGGGTTTCACCGTGTTGGCCATGATGGTCTTGATCTCCTGACCTCAGGATCTGCCTGTCTCAGCCTCCCAAAGTGCTGGGATTACAGGTGTGAGCCACCGTACCTGTCCAAAAGAAGATATTTGGAGGGAGAAAGAAGGTGCTATCACAACTCAAAAATCCACAGGTGTCAGTCAGTGTAGGGCAGAAGGGTCAAGATGGGGAAAAAGGGAGAAAGGGCGATTAGGAGCTTCCCACCAGTCAGATCCCCTAGCAACACCCACATGGATGGGGCAGACACTGTGCTGCCCAGTGCCGATGGTGCCACTGATGAGATGGGTGAGTCTGGAGATGAGAGACATTCTCTGAATAACTGCAAGGGCACTTTTGTGCACCAAGAGTAAAGGGAGGCATCTCAGGAGGCAGAATAGAATAGGAAAAATGCAGGCTTTGGAGCCAAACAGATCTGAGCTCCAATACTGGCTTTGGTACCTGACACCTAAGTGACCTTGAAGGAGGTTCTGAATCTTAGTTTTCTCATCTGTCAGCTGGGAGTGGTTAGCTGGTTAATTAAACACGTTTATTAGGCACCTACTGTGTACCAGCCCTTGCTCTAGGTGCTAGAGACCAGGAGTGAGCAATACAGGTAAAGTTTCTGCTCTCATGGAGCTTACAGGCTAGTGGAAGGAGATGAACAAAAAGCAAAGAATTATATATCATCATCTGGTGGTGGTTTGGTCGTTTATACCTTAGCTCGTTGCCAAAAAAGGCTGGAGAGCTTAATAACATCTCAGAAGTTCTGGAGATTTACTAAGACCGTATATGCAAAGTGCTTACCCCAGTGCTTGCATGCAATCATTCATCTTACAAATTCTTAAGGAGGCCTGGGTCAGAGCTGGGTCAGGCCCTGTTCCACGTGGGATGTGATGGGAACCAAACAGGCTTGGTTCCTATTTACGGACATTACCAACCACCAGTGCCCTCTGGCCTTGGCGCCCATCACTGGAGGAGGCCTCTTCAAGGTGAATAGGCTAAGTAGCGGAAAGGGACAAGATCTGTGATTAGAGGTCCTGGGTGCGAGTTTCCTTTGCACTTACGGGCTGTGTAGTGGTGGAGTGGTACCCTCACCTCTGCAGCCTGGGGTTCTCTATCCACACCGCTGCCACGGTGAATCCAGGACCAGGACGAACTCAGGAATGTCCTCTGCCTCTCACGCCCTATCTTTGGTTTCCCGGCTCTAGACCACTCAGCCCTGAGTGCGGCGAGGACCCTGTTTGTGGATGTGGAGGAGCGCGGGCCGGAGGCCATGGACGTGAAGGAGAGGAAGCCTTATCGCTCGCTGACCCGGCGCCGCGACGCCGAGCGCCGCTACACCAGCTCGTCCGCGGACAGTGAGGATGGCAAAGCCCCGCAGAAATCCTACAGCTCCAGCGAGACCCTGAAGGCCTACGACCAGGACGCCCGTCTCGCCTATGGCAGCCGCGTCAAGGACATGGTGCCGCAGGAGGCAGAGGAATTCTGCCGCGCAGGTGAGGGCTGGGCCGGAGGGCGGGGTCTGGGCGCAGGTGAGTTTGGTGCGGTTTGGCGGGCTCGGGTGGGCGTGGCGCGGGTGGGCCTGGGGCTGGCGGGCGTGGCACAGATGAGCCGGAACACCAATCCGGGCGCCGTGTCAAGTCTCTGCCATTTGGGCACTCGTAGCTGGTAAAAGCCTGTCCTGTAGTTCATTCTTAGTTCATTTATTTTCTCTTTCACCCACTCCTTGGCATAGTGAGGTGGTTAGGAGCTGGGCTCCGGTGTCTGCCTGCCTAGAGCTGAGTCAGGCTCCCCTCTAAGCCTCAGTCCTCAACTGTTAGATGGGAGTGAGAAGCCTCTGTGTTGCATTGAATTGTTGTGGGGACTTAATGAGATGGCCTTTAGGTGGTAAGCATGATAATAGCAAGTAAGTGCTGAATAAATGTTAGTTCCTAGGTTAGCTATTCATTCAACAAACGTAATTAGCAGTATCTTTGTGTTAAGCCCTTGTGACCTTGAGAGGAAGACTTTCCTGAGATGGCTGCACATGAAAACTTAGTAATCTGTAGGCTCTCCTGGTGCCTGGCTCCCTCTCCTGCACTTCCTAACTACAGCAGTCCCCAAAGCCTATTCATCCTGCCCCAGTATTCAAATCCATCCTCCTTAGCCATTCCCTCTGCCACTCCCCAGTGCAAGCCATTAACATTTTTCGTGGAGGATTAACTTCAATCACCCCCCTTCACCCAGAGTTGCCCACCTCCAGCCATTCTCTGCATTGCAGCCAGATGAGGCTAGGGGTGACTCCCTGCTGCCCTTAAACTGAGCCTCCCCTAGCAAAGAACTCTTTCTCCAGATCTGTTTCTGTTTTTCTACACTTTTTTGTCCCCTGACTCTCCACACTCCACCACTCATGGGCCAGCTGCACTGAACTGCTCAGGTTTCCAGATCTGCCATGATACTGTTTTCCTGCCCTGGTGCCTCGATGATTCCTGTTTTTCTGCCTGCAGAGGCATGAGCCCTCTATGATGCCTGTCAGGTCATGACCAATCCTGGACAATTTGTGCAGCCCACCCTGGTTTTGCTCTGGCCTTCCCCCGCTTCATAGACAGGGTCAGCTGAGCACTGTGCTATGTAATTTATATGCATTTTGACAATGTTATTTAATTCTTACAACAACCCCAGGGTGAATCATTTGCCCAAGATCACAGAGGTAAGAGGAGCTGGCCACACGCGTGCACACACACACACACACACACACCTGTGACCTCTTCATTTCCAGTCTCTCCCACAGGCCTGTATCCACGTGAAAGCTGACCTGTTAGCAGGGCTGCCTGTGAGGCTTGAAAAAGGAGCAGCCCCCTTCCCAGCTTATGGTTAAGGCTCAAACTCCAGCATCAAACAGACTTAGATTTGAACTGTGGCTCTGCCATTTTTACTATTTTCGGCTACTTCACCTGTGCAAAGGGATAAATAGTACCTAATAGGTGATGATGATTGATGAGAACTGTAAATAAAACACTTGACACCAGTACCTGGCACAGAACAGATGCTTCAGAAATGCTACCTGCTATTAATTGTCACCTCTGGATCTCACTGAGGGGAAGAGACAATGGTCTCTCGAAGCTTTTCTCTCTCTCTGTCCTGCCCATAAGCGATAGAGCTCAGTGAACCCTGATTGGCTTGGAGCTAGCATCAGAGGCTCAGGGAAGGAGCAGCTTTTTGTCTTTGTAAATAACAAATAAGCATTCTCATCTCATAGTCAGGCATGTGCGTAGCTGTTTACAAAATACTCAAATTATCACCCTGGATCCTCAAAAATCCTTTGAAGGTAGCAGGTCATAGATTATCATCCCATTTTAAAGACAAGAACATTGAAGCACAGGTGATCAGCAGCCCAGGACTGCACAGTTGAGTGAGATGGGATGTCAACTCATGCCCTGGGCCTCAGGAAAGAGGCCAAACAGACATAAAGCAAGTAAACCATGAGGACTTCTTAAATTGGATGAAATAAATCTTCCAAACTCACACATCAGAGGAGCTGACTGGCTCAAGAGGATTACCGAACCCTTAGAGTGGGCCCTTACCTTGCATTTCTCTAGTCCCGAGATGTCTTAGCTCACTGGTATTGATGCTGAGTCTGGCTCCTTAAAAGGGTATGCAGAACAAGCCATATGGAAATCAATGCAGCCCAGGCTGCTTGTTGCAAACAAATTTGATTTTTCACTTAACGTAAGAGTCATTCTTCATAACACGAGAGCGGCTTCTCTTGAGAGGGCTGGCCCAGCAGAGCACAGATAGAACTGTGGATGGGGGCAGGGGGCAAGAGCAGGACAGGAGAGAGGAGTATAGATCAGACAGTGGCCAGGGTGTGTGATGTGCAGGGAGAGCGGGACGCAGACAAGGAATTTAGGCTCTAATTTGGCATTTTCTTTTTTTCTTAGAAGGCGAGCAAAATAGGAGGGCAGATTGGAGTAGGGCACAGAGGAATAATACGCATAATTCTCAACATCTGGTTGGCCCAGCTTCTAACCAATCCGAATGTCTGCCTGGCCACCGAGCAGAGCCCACAGGCTTCTGTGGTGCCCGGTCTGCTGACATTAGCCCTTTGTTTAGTAACTGGATCATGAGGAGATTGGGGGTATCAGGAAGGGGCTGGAGCAGCCGGAGCAGAGGCTGAGAGGCACTGAGTGTGGAAGGAGGTACTGAGGTGGCTTGGCATCAGTTATTTACCAAGCTGTGTGGAAGTATTTCATGACTGTAACCTGGTGTCAAGGCTCTCCCAGCCTGAGCCAGCTGGGAAGGAGGCCTGAGGTACACCTCCGCCCACCGCCGCAGCCCAGTACAGCAGCAGCACCCCAGCTGGTCTCTCCTCCCCTCTTGCTTCTCCCCTTATCTATTGTCTAAAGTACTGCCAGAGTGTGCGTGCATGTGTGTGAGGTTAGCTAACTTTCATGGGGCACCTACCCTGCAGCAGGTGTGATAGGTGTTAGATCCAGATGACTAGGACACACCCGGGAGCACAAGGGTTGTTTGTAAGTGAGAAACACACGTCGTAATAGGATGCCATCTCTGCTGGCTCCCCTCCTACCTCTCCAGCAGTTCCCTGTCGCTTTCTTTTGCAGGCTTGTCCTATTTGGTCCTGGCCCAGGATCCCCCTAATGCTTGGGCATCCACCTCTTCTGCCTTCTCACTTGTCATTCTCCACATTCTCTCTCACTGCAAACGTCTCCTCTAAGCTCCTCACCCCAATATCCCACCTTCTGCCTCTGCACTCCAAGCACACTCTCTGTGGATCTCCCCACTTTGAACTTGCACACTTAACCATGTGTTTGGTTTTGTCTCCCCTACCTGACAGAGAATTCTGTAAAGTCAGGCAGTGTATGCTGTTCACTGCTCTATCTCAGTATAGGCCCAGGGTCAGCATGACTTGGTTTAAATGTGGGTCCTGCCTGATTATAAGTCCGGTTCCCCAGATCATCACTTTAAGTGGGATCTGACCCTTACTGCCTTTGTATACTCCCTCTTCCTTACCCCCACCCCAACACATTCCTGGAAATACCAGATATGTAGGAGAAGCTGTTCCTGAATAGACGTGGAATTCACGTGCAGGAGTGACAGGGAGGCTGGTTTTCCATAAAGTCAGCATTCTCTTTGTCACTCAAATACTAATCCTAGGTGAACTTCTCTCACCCACATCCACCCCAGCCTCCGTCCTAGGCTTTGCCAGGCCTGCCCAAGCCCTCAAGAGACCTGTCTCTGCCAGTTTCCTACCACGGCCCTCACTGGGATGAGGGAGCAGCAGACAGAGCATTTTTCCTGGCGCGAGGCTGACTTCTCTCTGCCAGTTCCCATCTTCTTCACTCTCAAGCTTCAGACTTTCTTGACCTGGCAAGAAAGGGACTTCTGGCCCCAAGGGAGCCATTTAGATCTCCTCCACTGGGCTTCTGCCCTGCTCAGGACTTGCTGACAAGTCCTCCCTGGAAAAAGACACCTGAAGCCCTCAATTCACTTTAGTAGGCATTTATTGAGCCCCTTCTGTGTACTGCATTTTGTTCTAGGGATTTAAGAATAAACAAGACATGGTGCCTGCCCTTGCTGAGGCCACCTCCAGCAGAGGGGCAGACCCTTAGACAACTCTGCTGTGCAGTATGGCCAGGGCCAAGGACTCTGGAAAAATCCTGGAGAAAGTTGCAATGAATTCTGCACAGGTGTTGGTATTGGGGTAGATTTCACAGAGCAGTCACCATTTGAGTTGAGGCTTAAAGGAAATGGAGGGTTCACACTGGTGAACAGGGGGCAGAAAAAGCCCTCCAGGCAGAGGTGATCACTTGAGCAAAGGCAGGGGCATAGAATGCCACAAGTTCAAAGAATGACAGTGACTCCTGGGGTAAGAAGGCCAGGCTTCAGGCAGAGGCAGAGGCAGAGGCAGACCTCTGCTCAGCGCCCTAACCAAGCTCACCTGTGTTTCCTCCCAGGTGCCAATTTCACCCTGCGGGAGCTCGGGCTGGGAGAAGTGACGCCCCCTCACGGGACCCTGTACCGGACAGACGTTGGCCTCCCCCACTGCGGCTACTCCATGGGGGCCGGCTCTGATGCTGACATGGAGGCTGACACGGTGCTGTCCCCTGAGCACCCTGTGCGACTGTGGGGCCGGAGCACACGGTCAGGGCGCAGCTCCTGCCTGTCCAGCCGGGCCAACTCCAACCTCACGCTCACCGACACCGAGCACGAAAACACGGAGACTGGTGAGTGGCTGGTTTGGCCTGCGCCAGGTGCCTGGGTTGTGGGGCTGGGGTTTTATTGACAATATTGATTTCCTGCTCCATCGCCAGGGGCTCTGGTGAAGTTGGTGAAAAATTGCTTTGCCCTCAGAGGTCAAAAGTCAGAGTCTCTTGCAGTCATGTGAAATGCCCACCCATGAGTGACATGCCAGAAATGGAGTCGCTGCTTTTTCCTTCCGGATTAGGGAGGCGCGTAAGGTTTTGGGTCATTGCTTCCAAGGTGCCTGTGTGCAGGGGAGCAGGGAGGGCACTCACAGTGGTAACACAGCCCCCATAGTGTGTCCTCTATGAAATCAGCAAGGCCTGGTCCTGCCTGAATCCTGCTCCTGCCATCTCTAGCTCCAGGTGCCTGGCAGTCCTGGGCGACCTCCAGGAACGCTGTCCCACCCCAGCATCTTGTGTGGTTCAGAGGATGGCTTCTAAACAAAAGCTGTCATTTTGGGATAGCTTATGTCTTGAGGTTTAGAGGAGATGTTGTCAAAGGATACAGAGTTTCAGTTAATAGAAGAATAAATTTCTGAGATATATTGCAAAGCATGGCAACTATAGTTAATAAGCAAACATTCTATATTTCAGAGTTGCTAAAAGGGTACATTTTTAAATACTCTGCCACAAAAAAATATGTGAGATAAGGGATATGTTAATTAACTTGATTTAATCATTCCACAGTGTATACATGTATCAAAACACCCTATTGTGCCCTATAAATATATGCAACTATTATTTGTCTATTAAAAAGAAAGTGAAAAGACAAAAATATATAAATTTTAACAATTAAAACTTGAAGTTTTGCTCCACCTTCCCCCTGATCCCAGGAAGTGCTAGCTCCACACTCCCTATTCCTCTCTCCTCCCTGCTGCTCCTTCACAAGGCCTGAGAGAGGCTGTGGGAGGAAAGGATGACATCTGGTTCCCACGCCTCCTTTTCATGGTGGAGGAAAGGGAGCCCAGTCTCAGCGTTTTCCTCTTTCCTCTCGGGACCTTGCTGGCAGCATTCTGAGGGGCTCTAAGTCTAACGCAGTCCTTCGTGGAGACTAGCCGCCCAGGGGGAATCTCCCCCTCTGTGTATTTCATGCATAGCTTTGCTGAGCCAGGTCAGCACCAGGGTGGGTCCTGCCGGGTTCTGGCAGCAGAGCCTTAGAAACAGTGGCAGAGCCCAGGCACAGCCCCAGCACCTGGAGGGCTGCTTCTGGGAAGTATAGTAAGGAGGAGGTCCGCTAGTGCTTCCACACCAGAACCAGCAAAAGGGTGTGGGTAGGGCAGTCGGAAATAGTAATAGAACAGGAAGCACCGAGCCTGGTGTCAGTGCCCCATGCTGGCTTCTAGCTTCAAATGTAGATCCTCGTGATTCCTGGCCTGGATTCCCGTGGATCAGGGCAGGGACCAGGTCAGAGATGAGGCTTAGATGGGTTAGTCTCTGAAGAGGAGTCTTCAGCTGAGTGGTGCAAAACCAAGATTGATCCACAGATTGGGGATGGGCAGGAGACCACGCATGGTCAGGGTCAGATGGGGAAATGTATCCCCTTAGGGTCCAGAGTCCCATGCAGCCAGTTCCAAAGGTGTATCCTGCCACCCCTCCCAGAGGCCTCACATGTTCTCCTAAGGAGCCTGTGTACTTGTCTAGGGGCGGGAGGGTGGCAGTGGCTTGGGTACTGGGTACTAGCATGGCAGTGTCACTCTCTCTTGGCCCCCAGCCAGCCCTGTGAAGGAACTTATGACCTCAGCACCGGAGGAGTTTCCCTCTCTATGGTGGGAAGCCACCTACACTCCCTCACCCACCTTCTCAAGGCCATGCCCAGCCAGTAGCCCTGCCTCTCCCCAACCCCACCACACACTGAACTTGAGCACTAAATTGAAGGGCAGTGCAGGACCTGGCACAAAGACACTAGGGTCTGTGCCACCACACCACAGCAGGCAGGGAGCCCCAGTTCTGTTAATGGTCTAGGGTGTGGCATTGGGTGAATTGCATCCTTTCTCAGGACCTCAGTTTCCTCATCTATAAAACAGTTTAAATTAAATTACCATTCCCTGATTTGAGAGTGTTAATTCTTAGATGAGGTAGAGGGGTGTTCTGTGGTTGAATAATGTAGGACACTGTGAATTAAACAAACTTAAACCAGTTTCTGTACTGCAGGACTTCTTAGAGTTTTTAAGATGTTAATGCGCATGCTAATGGATAGATTACCCAAGGATGTATGCAGCATTCCACAGATCGATTTGACCACAGAACTCTTTCATTCTCAGAGCATCTGGTGGGACCAGTGTTCTAATCAACACTTTTTGGGTCTAGCTGAGCTAAATGACCTGTAGGACCTTCTAGATCTAGAATTCTCGGTCTAAGTGCGTGCAGAAAATGAAGGTGCACAAGAGGAAAATGATAATAACAACACTGATACTTCATAGTTGTGTGGCTGGGCATGATGGCTTCTGCCTGTAACCTCGGCACTTTCAGAGGCCGAGGTGGATGGATTGCTTGAGGCCAGGAGTCCAAGACCAGCCTGGGCAACATGGCAAAACCCCATCTCTACTAAAAATACAAAAATTAGCCAGGCATGGTAGTGCACACCTGTAATCCCAGCTACTCAGGAGGCTGAGGCAGGAGAATCACTGGAACCTAGGAAGTGGAGTTTGCCGTGAGCCAAAATTGCAACACTGCACTGCAGCCTGGACAACAGAGTAAGACTCTGCCTAAAAATAATAATAATTAATAGTTGCTGCCGTTATCTGAACCTAAGCACAGTGCTAACTGCTTTAGCTATATGATCTCATTTACTCCCCCTACAAATTTCCCTTGAAGAAGGTTTTATTATCCCCATTGTACACAGTAAGGATGCCGCAGCCCAGAGAAGTTAAGAAACCTCCATAGGTCACACAACTTGCAAGATGAGATTGGAACTCAAGCCTATATGACTCTAAAATCTGTACTCTTATAGCCCTGGTTCTAGTGAATTCCCTCTATAGCAAAATAATTAGGTTATTTGTTCTTTTGAAGCCTTCTTGCTGTGGTGACTAATGATCATTTTCCATAAAGTTATGACAGAAAGAGGTGCACACCGCCCACATTATTGTATATTCCCTGAGAACTGAATTACAGCTTAATTAAGCCTCTGTTGGGTGATAATGACGTATTCACCAAGCCTGAAGAGTTTCAGCCTTTGATAATGGGGACGGAGAAATGGCTGCCTGCACCCCTGGCCATGTTGTCATCTCTTTATGATCATCTATTTCCACACTAGGGACAAAACTTGAAGCCTCAGTGTACTTAGGCAAGGAAGTGGGCAGATGAATCTAATAAAGGGCTTCTGTTTCCCACATCCCTTCCAAGCCTGGACTCCCTAAACCTACACTCCTCATAGGTGTCTACTCAATCCAGGTTGGGAAGTTACATTAACAGCTTTGTTATGCGGTACTCAGGTCTAAATAATAACAGCAATCATGGGAGTGGCTCCCTTTTATTCACTGATTAGGTTCACATTCCTCTTACTCACACTATTATCTCCCCAAATGATAGCTGGGGAAACGGAGGCACTGAGAGATTAAAGGCCGTGCACAGGACCACATGTCTGGTTGAGTTGGAGCCAGGCTCTACCACAAAAGTCCTGGTTCCTTTCAGCCTCTTTCTCCCTTTTCTTTTGCCTTCCCACTCTCCCGTCTTTCTCTAGTTCTGCCTGACCTCATTGAACCCCTGGGCCCCAGCCAGCTCTCTCCTTTTCCTGTGATGAGAACTCGGATCTCACCATCAGAACAAGGCTCAGTTCCACTGGACCTGTCAGTCAACCCATCACAGTGTGGTCACTTCTCAGGAGTAGAGCAAAGCCAGCAACCTCAGGCACATGTGCAATTGCCTTTAATCCCCCGGCAACTCAGTGCCATTCCCATTTGCTGAATGGGAAACCTGAAGCTCCAAACTGAGACACAACAGCCAGTGAGTCGACAAGTTGACAGAGTTTAGATTTGAAGTCTGGTCTCTCTGATGGCCTGAGCCATCTCTATAGTCTGAGCCTTTTGCCTGCCTCCATTTGAGCCTACAAGCATCCTCAGCTCTCATTTGAGGCCACCAAAAATGTACAACCAAGTTCTCAGAGATCCTTACCAGATAAATGTGAAATGTGAAGCATAACCCCCGGCAACTTCCAGCCGCAGGAACATTTACTCTGCCTCCACACCCGGCTGCATTAGTCAATAGTAATTGTCAACAGTATTGATAGCGGTGGAGGCTTTTGCTGAGGTCACAGTGATGCTGCATGCAGCTGCCATCAATAATAACTTTTATGGGGTCCATTAAAGACAATTTCTGCCCCTGAAGGTTAATGTCAGCAGCTTTTATGTCACTGCTTAATATCTAAAATAAATACAGAATTGACTGTAATATAAACACAAATCTTCCTACCCAGGGCCTTCAGGCAGAGCTAGCCCTCAGGCCTCTCCTCTCCTGCCAGGAGGGGCCAGCAGGCTGGGGGACAGTGAGAAGCCGGCATGTCAGGAACACAGTCAGCATGCAATAGATGTTTTTTAGATAGCAAAAGTTGCAATCTGAGCTTCACTCCCAAGCACGGGGTCAAGCTGACACAGTGTCTTTTGTGGATTCATTCTGTAATTCGTCCCACGGCTATACTGAGCTCCTTCATTGTGCAGCGTTATTCTAGGATGTGGACTCTAGATGACCCGTGGGGGAGGCAGGGCTCCGACCACCTTGTGGCTCTTTAATGGAGGTGCAGCAGGCAGTGTTTCAGAGTGGAAAAAGAATGCTAGTTTCAGAGTCCAGTGAGGAGACCTGGCCTCAAGTCCGGGTTGTACCAGTCCCAGCTCTGAGATCTTGGGCAAGTCATTTCACGTCTCGGAGCCACAGTTTTGTTATTTTAAAAAGAGTATGTCAGTGGTTACCAGGGACTATGAAGAGGCTGATGGGGAGTTATTGTTTAATGGGTACCGATTTTCAGTTTGGGACAATGAAAAGTTTCGGAG